TTCCTAAGGCAATGAGTAATCCTGTTAAATAATTATGATCTCAATATTGACCAAAATAATTAGCAGCCCTACATGAACATTTAACTCATGAAAATTGTTGAGAGAAACTACGCCTCTGCCTTCTTTCTGTACAGGCTAATGCTTCATTCAATACATTATTTTATTTTTAACTTTTTAAATCTTGTTTTAAATTTGGTGAAGAGCGCATTATGACTTGTTTAGGACTCGAAACTCAAAGTTTAAGACTTGGACTCGGACTTGTAAAATGATGACTTGGTCCCACCTCTGTGATTATGCAATGGTTTCCTGACCTCAAGAAAACAAAACGCTTTTCTCTGATATAAGATGCCCACTTTATCTTCAGATTCTGTGCCATTTCCCCTGGATGTTTCAGAGTAAGATAGCCATCTAAGCAAATCCCAAGGTATTTTAAAGATTGAACAACATTACATTTGGGACCATTACATCTATGAATGAGCAAAACACATTTTGTCTTGCAGCATTCAGTGCAAGGTTGAGATATACAGAGATGCCTGAAAAACATTACAGGCAGACTGTACTATATACACATGGCTTGAGTTGGAGAAGATCCATATGCATACAATACTGCGTCATCCACATAGAATTTTAGCTCTGCTGCAGTAGTAGTAGATTTGGTTTGCAGTAGACAGACAAGTCATCCATGTGGACACCTGGCCTTTTATTGTGGCCAGCCTAAGGCACACTTGTGCAATACCCATGGTATCTGATCAGTATCTTGATATGCCACACCTGTGAGGTGGATGGACTTTCTCAAAGGAGAAGTGCTCACTAACAGATTGACAGATTTGTGAACAATATTTGAGAGAAATAGCCCTTGTGTACATAGAGACAGTCTTAGATCTTTGAGTTCAGCTCATGATGCAAAACAAGAGTGTTGTGTCTATAATTTTGTTCAGTATAGAATAAAATACACTAAAATAACCACTTGAATAAGTAAAGGTGAAATTCAGGTGTTGACCAATGGAACAAAGCTATTTTTGTAGTACTTTGTTAAACACTTTGGGACTATAAACCTCCTTCCAGAAGGAAGAAGCTGAAATTCACGGTGCAAAGGATGGGAGTCGTCATTTAAAATTGAGCCGTTATGTGCTGTAACGGTCTAGTGTATGGGCATGCTGGGTTAACCTGTAACTCATTAGACTACTAGACCATTTAACAATTTGATTCAGAGTTTGTTCTTTGTTACGTCCCAGTAGGGGATTAGGGAGTGAGGATGGGAGACACCTGATGAAAAATTAACCACGTGTTTTATTATTAGAACAAAAAGAAACAAAGATCACAGTAGACATACTCCGCCCAGCGGACAGAAACAGAAAAACGGGTACACATGCTCCCTCTGAGCACAGTCTGCTGCCGGCCGGCACCACGAAGGAGTGAGAGAGCGACCCGTGGAGGAACCGCCTCCTTTATCCTGTAGCTGAGTGAGCACAGGTGGATTCTGTCCGCATATCATCACTCGACCGAAACCTAGCAACGAGAGGGGACAAACCACCACAACAATACATACTCTTCCGTAACATCTTTTAAGATGACATCAAGAAGATAAAATTGCTTCAGTAGAAGCATGGATAGCAATTTTGCTATCTGGGTGTGGCTCATACTCAGATTAGCCAGTATGAAGTGTCGTATCTTTACCTAAAGTGGCCCATACTGTTCAATAATTGGGCCATATTTACAGTTTCAAATGTGGGCCACATTGGGCTCCCGTCTTAATTCACCAGTGCTGGCTGTATATTTGCCAAAAATTGCCTGAATTGTTTTTAAATATTTGGCCCACACTTACTACATCATATTCACCATTTAACACATGGGCCACTTTAGGGTCACATCCAGATTACACACTGCCGAGTGCACGGTGTCACGGCTGGCTCAAAACTGTGACCAAAAAAACAAAAAAAACAAAAAACAGTACGATGACACAAAACTGCAGTGAAGGTATCATTACTTTTATTTTTCAACAAACAATATTCAAATACTATGAAGTTTGATAATCAGTAGTTCAGTCATGTCAGCAGGTATGCATGCTTGATAGTGAGTGGAGTGTTGTATGGTGAAAACAAAAATAAGGAGTATAGGGAACAGGGTTTCCTTCCTCTCTAGCCCAAAGTGCAGAACATGAGACGTGCTTTTATAGTGGAGGCCAAGGTGGCTCCAATAACTGATGATCTTAACCACACCTACTAGCATCTTCAACATAGAACACAAAGAGATAGACATCTCAGCAGCTGAAAGAGATGGGGATGTCACAACGGCATCTTTGCCAAAAAAGGAAATTTTTGACAGACCGCACCCATGTCAGCAACCAATGGTTGTGCCACTGCCCAAACCTTCCGTCTTTTCTTTTGCCTGTCCCCTTGATTACTTTACTGTTTTATGTTGTTGCTTATGTTTTATTGGTTGATTAGACTGCTATTTATTTCTATTTAATGTTGCTTTTGTTTTATTGTTGTCACTTATCACGCCAGTTGAACTTGCCATCTCTTTCTCTGTGTACCTAACCTACCTGTGTAACATAATCTGTTCAGCCTTCCCCGATTGCAGGTCTATCACTGATCCTAGACCTGGCCTTGCGGTTCGGTGGCAATTGATTTTATACTTACCACGTCCTTTTCTCATCCCAAGCTGGCAGACGTGCAGTAGTTTAACCAAGGGACATACTGGGGCACAGTAGACTTTGCTCTACATTGCTGCGTCTTTCACAGCATGCTCCTCCTATATACATATACAGTGCATCTCTGCAAACTCATGAGCCAGCATAATAAGCTAAAATCAACACATTGACATAATACCGGTGGTACACTCTATAGTAACATGGATCGCGTTAGCTGGTGAAGTAATGTAATAACTACACTGCTCAAAAAAATAAAGGGAACACTTAAACAACACAATGTAACTCAAGTCAATCACACTCCTGTGAAATCAAACTGTCCACTTAGGAAGCAACACTGATTGACAATCAATTTCACATGCTGTTGTGCAAATGGAATAGACAACAGGTGGAAATTATAGGCAATTAGCAAGACACCCCCAATAAAGGAGTGGCTCTGCAGGTGGTGACCACAGACCACTTCTCAGTTCCTATGCTTCCTGGCTGATGTTTTGGTCACTTTTGAATGCTGGCGGTGCTTTCACTCTAGTGGTAGCATGAGACGGAGTCTACAACCCACACAAGTGGCTCAGGTAGTGCAGCTCATCCAGGATGGCACATCAATGCGAGCTGTGGCAAGAAGGTTTGCTGTGTCTGTCAGCGTAGTGTCCAGAGCATGGAGGCGCTACCAGGAGACAGGCCAGTACATCAGGAGACGTGGAGGAGGCCGTAGGAGGGCAATAACCGAGCAGCAGGACCGCTACCTCTGCCTTTGTGCAAGGAGGAGCACTGCCAGAGCCCTGCAAAATGACCTCCAGCAGGCCACAATGTGCATGTGTCTGCTCAAACGGTCAGAAACAGACTCCATGAAGGTGGTACGAGGGCCCGACGTCCACAGGTGGTGGTTGTGCTTACAGCCCAACACCGTGCAGGACGTTTGGCATTTGCCAGAGAACACCGAGATTGGCAAATTCGCCACTGGCGCCCTGTGCTCTTCACAGATGAAAGCAGGTTCATACTGAGCACATGTGACAGACGCGACAGAGTCTGGAGACGCCGTGGAGCTCTGCTGCCTGCAACATCCTCCAGCATGACCGGTTTGGCGGTGGGTCAGTAATGGTGTGGGGTGGCATTTCTTTGGGGGGCCACACAGCCCTCCATGTGCTCGCCAGAGGTAGCCTGACTGCCATTAGGTACGGAGATGAGATCCTCAGACCCCTTGTGAGACCATATACTGGTGCGGTTGGCCCTGGGTTCCTCCTAATGCAACACAATGCTAGACCTCGTGGCTGGAGTGTGTCAGCAGTTCCTGCAAGAGGAAGGCATTGATGCTATGGACTGGCCCGCCCGTTCCCCAGACCTGAATCCAATTGAGCACATCTGGGACATCATGTCTCGCTCCATCCAACAACGGCACGTTGCACCACAGACTGTCCATGAGTTGGCGGATGCTTTAGTCCAGGTTTGGGAGGAGATCCCTCAGGAGACCATCCGCCACCTCATCAGGAGCATGCCCAGGCGTTGTAGGGAGGTCATACAGGCACGTGGGGGCCACACACACTACTGAGCCTCATTTTGACTTGTTTTAAGGACATTACATCAAAGGCCTGTAGTGTGGTTTTCCACTTTGATTTTGAGTGTGACTCCAAATCCAGACCTCCATGGGTTGATAAATTTGATTTCCATTGATAATTTATGTGTGATTTTGTTGTCAGCACATTCAGCTATGTAAAGATATAATGAGATAATAATATAAGATATGTAATAAGATTATTTCATTCATTCAGACCTAGGATGTGTTATTTTAATGTTCCCTTTATTTTTTTGAGCAGTGTATATTATTTTGCACCAGATAACGTTAGCAACTTTGTGGTTGTTTTTATCCTTAAGTGGAGTTTATGTTGGAGTTTGTGTTGGAGTATTGTGCTGGGACCCAGTTGTTTTATGGTGTTAGTGGACTGCATTTCATTAGCGTCTATGCTGTTAATGTAGTTAGAGAGAGGCTCGGGAGCACTCATGCAGCTACATACTGACCCAATACCTTAAATAAGAAACAGAACAGTGGCAGCCCACTGACAAAAAGGAAGAAAAAAGTGATTTTTTTTAATAACTAATTTCATTTATGAACTACATATTAGTGCCTTTAGTAATATTGTATGGGCCAAGCAGAGAACCTTGTGATACCTCCTTAGTTATCATTAAGTAAGGTTGTGCTGAGACCATCAGAAGAGAATACCTGTTTTTTAGTAATATTATGGAGTCCAGTACCTACACCCTTACACACACATTTGGTTACTTATTTATTTGTGAACTTCCTTTGTAACAGTCAGCCTTCTTTAGAGCTTGTTGCATATGTTCTATGTTTGTGCAGCAATTTCTTCATGGCCCGCCACCTGGAGGAGAAAGACATCCGGAACAAGGAGAAGCAAGAGAGCCATTTTTCCAGTGAGGCTGAGGTGGCACTTCCTTCCCCACCACCTGACCAGACTAAAGACAAGAAGAGTGTTGATAGAGGTAGGATAGAGACTAGTTGGGCAACAGTACTGTTTGGGATTAGTTTCTTCACGTCCTAAATCTTGTACCTGCAGCCAAATACAAACCAAAACAAGTGTCTTTGTTTTTTTTTCCCAGAAAGGCATCCTAGAGATCTCCAATGGAGAAAGTTTTACCATTATAATTCCTCTTTTTTAATATTTTGCCACCGATATGGATGACAATGCCCCTTTTATCACATAATGTTGGGTTTCTTACAACATGAGGTTTTAATCATACCAAATACCCCACCCTCATAGCTTTAAACTCTAAATAACTAAGTAAAGTTTTAGCATGAATAGTGACTTTGTATTTATTAGGCATCTTTCTCCTTATTATTAGACAACTTTCCACTCATTATTTGGCTCATTATGTACTGTAAGGAAAAATTCTTGCGTTCAGATTCATGCACTGCCTTTAGAAAATCAAGGCCCTTTTATACAGAGACTCTTGAAATTGTACAAATACATGTAGATATAGTTTCATGTTCTTCATATAGCAGTGTCTCTCTGTGTGTCTCTCTCTTTCTCTCTCTGTCTAGTAGTTTTTTAATGGTATTTATCTATACTACAATACATCAATACTATGGGCAGCCGGTGGTGCATTGGTTAGCGCTGTTGCATCACAGAAGGTCCTGGTGGTGATTAATTATTCATAATGCAGCCATTACACTCTTTTTTTGCTTACATCACAGGTAAAAAGAGCAACACTGCAGAGAAGCCATTTCCTTCAACAGAGCCACCGGAACCAGTTCTGCCTGGGAGCTTGGCCATTGGCTCTGTGTCTCTGGCTGTGGCCAAAACTGGGGCACAAATATACAGTATCCCTCTCTACAAGTACATAGCAGCTCTGAACAGAAAGGTTAGACCACACAAGTGTAAACAAACACATTCACACAAACACTACACTAGGAGCGACTAACGAAGTAATGATGTCATAAATTGATTTATTCAGGCTCCGACACAATTCCACATACCTGTCCCCTTGGTAACTTTGCTAAGCTGTGGGAAGAATTCTCCTGGAAAACTGAATTTACTGGAAGAAGTCATCCTGATCCCCAAAGTGGGACAACGAGTCAGACAAGTACTCACCATTCTTCAAATACATCTGTGTAGTTGTTACATGTTCTATCTATCTTTGTTTGTGTGTGTGTGTGTGTTTTAAGTTCCTTTGCTTCGTTTATAGTTGCTATGATGTGGTATATTATTGGTAAGGCACCTTAGTTCTTGTATATTAAATGTTCACTATAGCATTTATTAAACACACTAAACTTCTTCAACAGATCATCACAATGACCCTTGAGTTACAGAAGGAGATAATGAGAATAATGAACACTTCAACAAAAGCTGGGGTAAGGGACATTGCTATTTATTCACTGTAAGAATAGGAACTGAGTTGACACGGGCTTTATGAGAGCTAGGAATGTAAAAGGTGGAGGCAGGATTCGAGGCCTTTTCTGTTACTCAGCTTTCCTAAAAGATATATACCAAACAATTTGTATTTGATTTTCATGGCTAATCTTCAAATTAACTCAGGTATGCAGGCCTGGGGGTATGTTGAAATGCTTATTAAAGCATTCAGTACTTCTCCTATCTCCCTTTTCCTTCATACATCATTTGTACTGGATACAGAGTTGTCCCCTGTATTGTTCAATGACCCCTAGCACTTACATTCACAACAGTGGAGAGGGTGAGTGGAACACACTCATCTTCTAATAATCTTACAATGACAGTGCTCTCATTCATACCTATGAATAAATACTCATCTACTGTCATTCACATGCAGCTTCAGCTAAGCTATTTTCAACAGATGTATCCAAAGAGGACAGATTAAAAAACAGTGTGGGTTAATGTATTTACTTCAGTTACACAATGCATAGATGTTGACAAGGTGAACGGTATCTTTGCTCCGAGGCCACCCAGGCAATTCTGTGTGACAGTGGAGCGCCGGCTGTGAGCTACGAGCGACCTGAGCAGCCTCTGGACCTGATCACTGAAGCCTGCACTAACTTTGGACTGACAGTGGGAACAGAGATCTATTTAGCTGTAAACTGTGCTGCCCCTGAGCTAATGGACTTTGTAAGTTGACGAAATGCTGGCAGGCTTAATGTGAGCCAAGGTCCTTGTGTAAATCAAGCCTATAGCTGAAGAGATCAGATCATGTGCAAATGCAGTATAGGCACAGCTAATAAAGACAAAAATCTGAATTTGTTTAATATTTTCTTCCTCTCAGTCTAAAGGAAAGTATGAGGTTGCAACAGGAGTTTTGAAGTCGCCAGATGAATTAGTGGATATGTACCAAGCCCTCATCAGCAAATACCCAGCAGTGGTGGCCTTAATTGATCCATTTAGGAGAGAGGTAACTTCATAATATTATCATTCTTTCATCAACATGTTGAAGTTTATTTAGGCAATACTGTTTATATATTGAAGACATTGTTTATATTATGAAATTATTAAGAATGAATTTATTACAAAATTGTTTAAAAACTGCCATCTCTGGCCAAGCGTGCGGGAAGCGGTGTGCGGAGGCTGTTGCAGCACCTCCTATTGACAGAGAGGAACACAGTGTGCACATTACATGTGCAGACTACATAATGGGCACAACATAAAATGCAGCAAGTTAGTTCTGAATTCAGAGGATGTTCTGGTTAATATTACGGCCTAATAATTTGATGTCAGCAGCTGTGTAGCATGGCTAAATTTGTTATGAATTTTAATACATTTATGAGAATTAATATCCAATTATGAATTGTAATATTCATAAAATCAACAATATTCCTCGTTTCAGGGCACCACCAGAGTTGTGATAATCCTAGAGTCTCCGGACCTCTAGGTAGCTTTTAATAATTATACAATTATTACTAGTGATCAGTTAGTTAATAATCGCTCAATTATCTTAAATCAATCAGTCAGTCTCATATCTAAAGGGTCAGTTCTCTTGGCAGGGACGTAGAAATAGGCAACACACACAGTTCATGATTATTTCACAGTGAATTTACTTTCTAACTAATGTGATATAAAAGGGTGGTTGAATACAGGGGAAATAAACAATGGCGGCACAATGAGCCTGGAGGTTCGATTGTGGGAAGCATTTGACTCATATGGCATAGGAGAACTAATGAAAGTAAGTTATGCGTTTAGGAGTTAAAAAGGAAATATTAACCTTACGGGACATATCTGACCACAGAATGTTGGTTAGGTCTTACGGCTTGTAGACGGCCTGCTTTGGCCTGTTGCACGGGTCCCACGTTAGCTGCCCGATCCTGGCTTTTGCTAGGGATTCTCCGGGGTTCTCCGTGTCTGACTGAAGAAAACGCTGTCCTCCGTCTGGCAATTCGGCTGTTTTCAGGTTTCCTTCGTTGCCGCTGGCGAGACCACGTGGCTTGGTCTGACCTCGGTGAAGTTGGCTCGACGAAAAAGCTTAGAAATGGAACTTGGTCGTTCCTGAATTAGTCCAGTGTAACTTAACGGACTGATAACTTTAACAAAACGAAAGAAAGAAAGAAAATAAAACAACTTCGCGTGTGTAGCTTCAAGCGAACAAAGGCCTGTCGCTGGTCGACTCCTGGGCGTTGCCTGGCGAGGCACGCCGGACACGTGCCGAAGCGTCCAGAGAGCCGAGAGAGCAGAGAAGAGAGAAGAGCGTCGCGTGTCGCTCTTTTGTTGCCTGGGGCGTGGTTCCCCAGAGGGCGTTTCAGGTTTCCCGAGGGACTGCCTTTCTAAACTTAATGTCTAAAAGAAAAGAAATCTATTTGCGCGTATTATAATCAAATATTTTCCACAATCAAACCTCAATGGTCAAACGGTTGTACCGTTCTAAGTTAAGCATTTGGTAACAGGAAACAATTTTCACATTATTGGTCAGGATATTTATACATTTAACGGCATTTCCAACGAGGGTATGTAATACTTATTTCGTCCACTTGGGGAAGCTCAGGTTACATGAGGAAAGCTTAGATTAATCCAAGATCATCTCTCCTTAGGAACCGGGGAATTTAGGTATTCATCCTTAAATTCAAGCTGGCGATTAAGAGTATAGTATGACATTTCTTTATCATCATTTCTAAAGGAATTTTGTAGGAAAGTATTATGAACAAGCATTGATTCCACTAGATGAGGGAGTGTCCTGCTGAAAATAAAAACACTGCAAAAGTAACTTATTTAGATTATTTTCAGCACTAATATCAACAACAGATAGCAACAACATGTTAACATAACTACTCAAATAGAGGCAAACATAATCAAGTAACTAAAATATTTAATTACACTTAATTAAATGCTTAGAGTTTTTGGAGACTCCAGTCTTTGGTTATTTAAAGTTCGGCTTCCTGGGTTATGTCACAACTTGGGTGAGACAGGGAGTATCCCTTTGATGGGGTAATGAAACACAGAGCAAGGTCAGTTGTCACGGTTACATATGTGGGGGGGCAGTTTTCATAGGCTGTTCAGGGAAATGCTAATCGCTGGTTCGTGTCCCTTTGTCAGTTTAACAGTCAGGCCCTGCGTTATCAGCTTCAGAATCAAAAAGGTGGCAGTTTTATGGTCAGGGATAGCACTTGACCGTTGGGGTCTCCCCAGCAGTCTGTTGAAGTTGATCTTTAACACCCCCTGCTCCTCTGAGGGAGAGAAAAAGGAATTTGGAGTAGCTCCAAATTTATTCAATATAAAATGCACAAATCCACACCGTTGTCCCACTACAACTGTTTTTCACGATTGTAGGAGCTTGTACGCCTAAATCGCTGAAACCTAAAAAAAACTAGCTTGCAACCAGGAGGTTATCATCAAGGTAACCTGTTGACAGGTTGACATGTGACGAATTAGTTTCAGATCATCCGTTGCCATAGTTACTGAGAACACCCAACAACAACACCAATATCGAATGTTTATGTATGTAAACACGGTTTTATGAATGAAAGTGAACCTGTAACCACATGACTATAACCCTTGGATCAGGTGCATTATACCAAATTAACAGCACCTGTGGGTGCGACGAAGGGAAGGGATCCATGGGACAAACCTTCACCACCAAGTGACAATGAATGGTTACAGGTTCACTTTCATTCGTTTTATTTCATTCAGTGAACCTGTAACCACGTGACAACAGTATACCAACAGTATATATTAGTCACGAGGAGAGGAAGGTGGCCTCAACTAACAGTCAAAAGGCCATATCAAGAAAGGAGTGAACCTTAGCTCAGTAAACGGCAGAACACATGCCACTGAGTTCAAGCTTTTTATTGTGAACAACTGAAAGTCATGTGAACAAAAATGTCCCTCCAGGTTGAATATCACAACAACCATAAACAAAAGAGGACCCGGACAGGGAACAAATAAATAAGAACCTTAAGCAGTCGTGGCCACCCCAAGTAAAGGGGGGGGGGGGGGCAGACGAAGCCAGGTTCAACTTATAAAACTTGGTGAAGGTTCATGTGGAAGCCCAGCCAGCAGCAGTGCAAACCTCCTCCAAGGGTGCGCCCCAAAACAGAGCCCATGAAGCGGCCATTCCTCACAGAGTGTGCCACAACCCCGACCTGCACATAGGCCATGGCAATCAGATCCAGTATCCAATGAGCCAAACGGGGCTTTGAAACAGGCCTGCCCAGCATGAGGTCACCATATGAAACAAAAAGCCTGTCAGAGGTGAACATCTCGAGGAGGTTCACATGCTACTCCAGTGACCGTGAACTGACCTGCCCTCCCAGACTGCGCCCCAGCCTGAGTGGGAGGCATTGGTCGTTATGGTCACCCTTCTTGGACAGCCTGTGAGTGCCTCCACCATGTGAGGACCATGAGGCCCCCTCGAGACGGAGCAAGTGTCCTCGACCTGCCCCTGGGCAGAGAGACCCTTTGGTGTTCGAACCAAAGCTGCAGTGGTCGTGTGTGCAACGGGACAACCTGGGCAGCTGCAGCAAAGAGGCCCAGCATCCGCTGGCACTGCATCACAGACACCGACCTGCGGGCAATGCAGCCCATGATCCACTCCACGATCAGAATAAGTGTTCAGAATAAGCCCCAGATATTTGACAATTCTGGTTGGGACCAGATGACTCTTTTCGGCATTCAGCTGCAACCCAAGTGAAGTCAAATGTATCAGCACAGCTTCTGTGTGACTCAGCACCAGTGCCTCTGAGGGAGCACACACCAGCCAATCGTCCAGATAGTTGAACACCTGAATGCCTCGCCGCCACAGAGGAATAAGTGCAGCATCCATGCACTTTGTAAATATTCGTGGCGATAGAGACAGACCAAAAGGAAGGACAATGTACTCGTAGGCCCTTCCCTTGAAAAGCAAACCTGAGGAACGTCCGGTAATGTGGACTGATGGGAATGTGAAAATAGGCATCTCGAAGGTCCACTGTTGTGCACCAATCGCACAATGAGTTTCATTATGGCCTGAAACAGAGCCCCCAACTTGAACATCTAAAAGGGGAGGACTTTGTTCAGCTTGTTCTGTTCAGCCTCCGCAAATGTAGAATCAGGCGGTATTCCCTGTTCTTCTTGGGGGACGAGGAAATAACCGGAGTAATACCCCTGTCTCATTTCCTCTGGAGACAGAGGTCTTATTGCACCTTTCTGTAGCAAGGCAGAAATCTTGCTGGCCAGAATGGCAGAACGAGATTTGTCTCTTACCTTTGTCTCCAAAGCCCCTCGGAACCGAGGCAGGTGGATCTTGAACTGCAGGCGGTTCCCAAACTCTAGAGTACTGACCATCCAGGGGCAAGAGGTGCACTGACGCCAAGCCTGAAGATGGGCAGGGGAAAAAGCTGGCGTCAGGGGATACGCCCCGTCAGGAGCTCCAGCGGGGCCCAGAGGCCCCACGATCAGTGTGTTCTCGAAAACGCTGGCAGCCCCAAGCCTGTTGGTGGGGAGGCCCTTGCCTCCCAGTCCCCAAACTGCAGGAGGAGCGCTACTCCACAAAACGAGGCCGCTGGAGACTGCCACGCCTCTCCAAAGGCCCAGAAGGTCAGGCTGCGTACACAGTTGCAGCCTGACCTTCTGGGCCTTTTTCTGGGCCTCATCCAATGCAACCTCTGCTGCAGGACCAAACACCTCACTGGGAGCTATGGCAGCTTCCAGAACTGCAGCTCGGTCTGTATCCGCCAAACCCAACTGGCTCAGCCAAATATGCCTCCGGGCCATAATCAGCTACGCCAAGGAGTTACCAAGAACACTGACCTGAGAGCTAGCACCCTGGATCACTGTGTCCAAAACTTTAAACATCACTGGCAGGAGGTCACTCTGGTTTTTGGACTCCATGTCCCGTATCAGCCCCTCCAAGTACACTAGCAGAAGAGCATTAGTGTTTGCCAGTCTCGAGGCCATGGCTGTAGACTGATAGGCCTTCACCACCAACCCATCAGTGGTGCAGCACTTCTTATTTGACGAGCAACCCTACCGCTCGTGGACGAGGCTCCAGCTAGCAGTGCAAAAGTCTGGCCCACCCTTGTTGCGCCATCCAGGCCATGCTCTGCAGCACCATTGAGTATGCTGAGGTAGGAACGGGGTGCAGTAGCCTCCCTGGGTTGGGCCCAGGACCTCTGGAGATTTTTAACAAAATTGAGGTACACCGGCAGAGCAACCTCTGCCTCTGGCTCCTGGGGTCCCGGGTCCAGTGCAGAAGTTTTCAGTGGGGAAGAGGGGGGGGGGACCAGCAAATGTTGCCACTCGTGAGAGCAGAGCTTCATCAGAAAAATCACCACACTCAGCCATCTGGGAATCATTACCAAAGTCATCTCCCTCATCGCAAGCTTCCACCTGCCAAGAGGAGCCACAGCCAGGGTGCTGAGTTGCAGCCATGCATTCAATGGTCTTAGGCATATCCTCCAACTGCCCCTGCATAAGGTCGACCCTGGGGTCACAGAACTGCTCAGCCCACTTCCGTTTTCTGGACCTCTTCATTCCTGCCAGGGAACCCGAATCTCGGGGAGCAGGGGCTTGGGCAGGTTGCACATTGCCCTCGGGGCCACTGTCCCGCTCATCACTCCCTGGAGACTCCATATCCTCTGTGCAGCAGGAAAACACAATGCATCTCTCACAGAAAAAAACAAGACAACAAGACAAACACACATGCAGCAAATTATTAAGAACCAATAATAATAATAATAATGAATTGCATTTATATAGCGCTTTATCATAGATACTCAAAGCGCTTCAAAGTGAAGTTGGGGGACTCACCTCAACCACCACCAATGTGTAGCACCCACCTGGGTGATGCACGGCAGCCATTTAGCACCAGAACGCTCACCACACATCACTACACAATAAACACCTAATAAAGGGTGGCTAAAAATTGCTGCATTAAAGCAACTACACAGGAACAAAGAAATACACAGACCTCAATAAGCAAACTTTCAATCTGAATGTAATAACACTCCAACCAACAGGCGGCGATAGCACACCCAACACCTACCACCAGAGAAGAAGAGCGTTATTCAACAACAAAACACAGCAGAGAAAACTATTGCACTCCGGCAGTGTGGAGCGCTACTCTTAAACGCGTATTCACCACTTTATATACAGTCTATGGTGCTCACCACACATCCACTTACAAAGGCAGTATGTGATCACACCTGCACACGACGAGTACAAACCACTCACGGCATACCACGGGGGTGCCAAACTGTTGGCAAAAAACCACGAGGTTTAGCAAGGTAAAACAACACACACTGGTATAAGCTCTTACCGACCAGAAGGATAAAAAGAGGGAGAGTGTGTGGGTGTACGATGCACCCATAGGTGTTGTTAATTTGGTATAATGCTCCTGATCCGAGGGTTATAGTCACGTGGTTACAGCTTCACTGAATGAAATAAAAATTGTTCTTCTGGACATGCTGGCATGTGCTGTAATACGCTCTGAGTGGTCGGTAGAAAAGCACTACATAAAAGCATTCCATTTACCATGTGCAGCTTACATCAAACTTTCATGAATTCCCATTAAATACAAACTCTGTGTAAATAGAACTCCTATAGTTAGTTGGTTTGGGTTATAATTCTTCTCTGTGTACTGATGTTTATGTGTCTTTCTGAGATTGACTATGTGTTAGATTTACAGTATGTCTTTACATACATATGTATGAGCATTTTGTACACTTAAATGTGTATCCTTATTCTTGTGTGTTTGTGCTTTGTAAGGACATAGACCAGTGGGAGAAGCTGAGCAATGTTCTTGGAGACTCATGTTCACTACTCTCTGACACCACGTACAAGTCGAAGACCCCGCCCCTTCTGGGAGCCAGAGGTCACATCTTAAAACACATCCATGAGACAACAGTCAGTGATTTGATCCGCATCACATCAGAACACCAAGGTAACAGATCCACTGAGGTGGGATAGAGAAAAAGAACCAGGATAAGTGCTCACTAAAAGAGACAGCTCAACTCAGTTGTAAGTTGGTAAAATGCTGTTCAACTCAACCTCCACAGGAGGAATTGCAACATTGAATTTCTGTCTCTGTTTAGAAAGTAAAAGAAGCATATTTGCTGTTTCAAGCTTTCAGTTTGACCAGATGTATCAGCTGATTTACCATGCCTAAACTGTTTGTAACATAGAACATCAACATGTCAACACCAGTGCTCCCTGTTTATGGAGAGAATAAAGAACAGTTGAATAGTTAATAGTGGGGGGGTGATGGTGCAATGGATAAGACACATGCCTTTGGTGTGAGAGACCCAGGTTCAGTTCCCCACTGTGACCCATCCACCAATTTGTCCCTGAGCAAGACACTTAACCCCTAGTTGCTCCAGAGGTGTGCGACCTCTGACATGTATAGCAATTGTAAGTTGCTTTGGATAAAAGTGTCAGCTAAATGAGTAAATGTAATGTAAATAAATCATGGAAAATAAAATATAATTAGTAACATCATGACATGTACATCACATTGCTTTAGATGCTTCCTTTGTCAGAGGTGTTGGAAAAGAGTTCAGTCAGGCATAGAAGTCCTTTTAAAGTCTTGCAGTATTTTACATACTATACTATATACTTCCATTCCTATAGTGTATGAACAACCAGACAGTCCATATAATATATTTAAAATAATACTTTTTTGAAAGCTTTTTTATGTGATCTCCTGTCCCTCGCCCGGTATGCCCCAACGCCCCATTCCCTCTCCGATACCTACAATGGGTTGAGTCGCTATTACGACGGCCACGCTGTGAACAGTTGGCTGGATGAATTTTACGTGTGATCCATGTACTACTGCAGCTGGGGCTCTCCACAGTGCCACACAACTTTCTAAATTCTTCCATCTCATGGAGAATGTTCCTCAGTCATGCCAACAATATTGACACAAATGGAAAAAAACCTTTCTCAATTCAGTTCAGTTTAGCTTTATTTGCATGAATGTTAATACAACAGTATTGTCAATGCTTAAAGGTTCAGTGTGTGTTTTAGTGATATCTAGTGGTGAGGGTTGCAAATTGCACCCCCCTCCCCTATCTATGCGAGTTGTTGCCTGAGACAGGACAAAGATGTCATCTATGAGATAGCAGAGAGTTGCCAGTCAAGAATTGAGGTTTCTTTAGATAGATATATTAAGAAATTATATTTACTTAATTATTCAGTAAAATCACATGTTTTTTTTAATATGTTAATTGTTCATTAATAAACAACAGCCACATGAAGAAATGAAGTGCTACATGATGTCTGATACTCCTGTAATACATTATTTTACAACTTGGGAGGGTTGGCTCATTTGGACTAACAAACCAAAGAAAATGAAGAGTATCTCAAAAACAAACAAAAAAAATCCCATTTAGTGCATCAAGTATGACCACTGACAGATAATACAATGTAAGCCTCACTGTTTCTGCACAACAGTCCAGTATAAACCACATAATACATGAAGTTTACAAATGCATTGTCAGGTGAGGATAAAGGCTCCTCCCACTTTGCTTAATTAATTAGATAAGCAATCTGCAAATCTTACCAAAATGTCTTTTTAAATTTTTTTTAAATACAACAGAAACACAAAGTAGTACTGACAGCCATAATTTCAGATTGTGGTAAAACGGTGCAACGTTTTTAATGGGCATTTACCATGTGAAAGTAAAAATTACACATTTGTGTGCACAGTGGCAAATCAATATCCAAAAAATACCTTTTGTAAATGCAAATGCAAAAGTATTCATTATTAGTCCCTTGATAGGGACACGGCCTTGTTATATATCACCATTAGCAGTAAAAAGAAATACATGTTTTCCACCAGGGCAGTAAAATGTGAAGTTTAGCTGCTGATCTGAGCTTCCCTGCTGGTACCATTTTATTGCCAATAATATTCATCATCTGTTTGTCTCAGGAAGGTAACGGCACGTAACAAAGCCATAGCAGAGGCTGGAGAAGAACTACGTGAAATTACAATCCAACAACATATTTTTTCTACCAGCGCAGTAAAAGTTTAGCTGGCTGATATGAGCTTCCAGCTGTAAGCTACCTTCTTTTATTGCCAATTAGTGATCAGCTGATTGTCTCAGGAATGTAACAAAACCAAAACAGAGCTCTGGAGAGAGAGTAACTACATGAAACTAATCCAACAACATATTTTTTTTACCAGGGCAGTAAAGGTTTAGCTGTCTGATCTGAGCTTCTTGCTGTAAGCTACCGTTTTATTGCCAATTACAGATCAGCTGATTGTCTCACGAATGTAACCAACAAAGCCAAATCAGAGGCTGCAGAGAGAGAGTAACTACATGAAATTAATCCATCTACATATTTTACACCAATAGAGAATAAACTAATCCAACTAACCTTACATGATGTTTCTGCCAGGGCAGTAAAAGTTTAGCTGGCTGCTGCTTCCATACTCTAAGCTAACGTTACGGCTTTAGGCTTTATTGCCAATTAACGTTACTGATCAGCTGATTTTCTCACTAACGTAACCGGCAAAGCCAACCCACAGGCTGGAGAATAAGTAGGCGACATGAAATTAATGCAACTACATATTGACAGGGGAAACACCTCACCTCTCTCAGTGATTATAGCCAGCTTCAAGCTAAAGCTATCAAACAATAAAATCTTTCATTTGCATCTCTAAAGCCTGACAAACTTAAGTTAATTACCTGTCCAGCAGAAAACAGACAACTTCAGCACCGCTTTGAAAACATCTGTCCCACATTAAAGCCTTCCATCTGGGAAAATCCACATCCGTGATTTCTGCCGTCAGCTGTTTGTACTTGTCCAGGTCTGGCTTCATGGTATAAATATCCACAGCTGTCGGCTCTCTCTCTTCTAATAAACCAGAAGACTTAACAGAGACTGTTTATTATTATTATTTTCTCTTCTTCTTCTATAGACACATTTAATGTAGTTACAGGCGTTGACGCTGCCGGAATTATACAAGGAGAAGAAGAACGCTGTGATGACATAACGTGCTCTGTAGGCTGTTTGTTCGTTGACGGCTATTGTAGAAACATGACAACAAAATACGGCGACCTCCATAGAAGGGGATGCCCGCGGTTATGTAGATATAAATGTCTAGGTAATAAAAACATAACGGTAGAATGTAAGGTCTTTATACACCACTTAAAACAAATTTTTAGATATATATTGCATTTCTGTCAATAGATCCTCAGAAATATTACACACTGAACCCTTAAAGGAAAATACACTGCTCAAAAAAAATAAAGGGAACACATCCTCCTGAATGAATGAAATAATCTCATTAAATACTTTCTTTACATAGTTGAATGTGCTGACAACAAAATCACACATAAATTATCAATGGAAATCAAATTTATCAACCCATGGAGGTCTGGATTTGGAGTCACACTCAAAATCAAAGTGGAAAACCACACTACAGGCCGATCCAACTTTGATGTAATGTCCTTAAAACAAGTCAAAATGATGCTCAGTAGTGTGTGTGTGGCCTCCATGTGCCTGTATGACCTCCCTACAACGCCTGGGCATGCTCCTGATGAGGTGGCGGATGGTCTCCTGAGGGACCTCCTCCCAGACCTGGACTAAAGCATCCGCCAACTCCTGGACAGTCTGCGGTGCAACGTGCCGTTGGTGGATGGAGCGAGACATGATGTCCCAGATGTGCTCAATTGGATTCAGGTCTGGGGAACGGGCGGGCCAGTCCATAGCATCAATGCCTTCCTCTTGCAGGAACTGCTGACACACTCCAGCCACGAGGTCTAGCATTGTGCTGCATTAGGAGGAACCCAGGGCCAACCGCACCAGCATATGGTCTCACGAGGGGTCTGAGGATCTCATCTCTGTACCTAATGGCAGTCAGGCTACCTCTGGCGAGCACATGGAGGGCTGTGTGGCCCCCCAAAGAAATGCCACCCCATACCATTACTGACCCACTGCCAAACCGGTCATGCTGGAGGATGTTGCAGGCAGCAGAGCTCCACGGCGTCACCAGACTCTGTCACGTCTGTCACATGTGAACCTGCTTTCATCTGAAGAGCACAGGGCGCCAGTGGCGAATTTGCCAATCTTGGTGTTCTCTGGCAAATGCCAAACGTCCTGCACGGTGTTGGGCTGTAAGCACAACCACCACCTGTGGACGTCGGGCCCTCATACAACCTTCATCGAGTCTGTTTCTGCCCGTTTGAGCAGACACATGCACATTTGTGGCCTGCTGGAGGTCATTTTGCAGGGCTCTGGCAGTGCTCCTCCTGCTCTTCCTTGCACAAAGGCAGAGGTAGCAGTCCTGCTGCTGGGTTGTTGCCCTCCTACGGCCTCCTCCACGTCTCCTGATGTACTGGCCTGTCTCCTGGTAGCGCCTCCATGCTCTGGACACTACGCTGACAGACACAGCAAACCTTCTTGCCACAGCTCGCATAGATGTGCCATCCTGGATGAGCTGCACTACCTGAGCCACTTGTGTGGGTTGTAGACTCCGTCTCATGCTACCACTAGAGTGAAAGCACCGCCAGCATTCAAAAGTGACCAAAACATCAGCCAGGAAGCATAGGAACTGAGAAGTGGTCTGTGGTCACCACCTGCAGAGCCACTCCTTTATTGGGGGTGTCTTGCTAATTGCCTATAATTTCCACCTGTTGTCTATTCCATTTGCACAACAGCATGTGAAACTGATTGTCAATCAGTGTTGCTTCCTAAGTGGACAGTTTGATTTCACAGGAGTGTGATTGACTTGAGTTACATTGTGTTGTTTAAGTGTTCCCTTTATTTTTTTGAGCAGTGTACAAAAAAACGATTAAATTCATATAGTTCATCGAATAAATAAAATAAAATAATTTAATTTCTCTATATTGATATAGAATAATATCATCTATTATCTACTATCTATCTATATCTAATATTTTTAATTTCTCTACATCTTCTTTCACTATGGCTGTGTCTCCTCGCAACGATAACAGCAGCCATCTCTGCGTAACACTTGCCGGTTTGCACCTTCCCTTCAAACATATTAAATACAGATGCTGTTGCACTCACATGAAATTGCTTTTAGGCTTATTAGATCACATTGCGTGTAGTAAATAAATGTATTGGCATGTTACCCTCCCATTGCATATTCATTAAGGCAAAAGTAGTAAATGAACAACAGGTGCTATCTTGCACTTTTGAAAGACGTCATACTCTGTGCACACCATTAGTAGATCAGCTTACATGTTAATTTGCTGGTGATATAAAGTTTGCACACGTTTTTACACACACAAACCTTTGACAAGCCCTTTGTCTATAAGGAGGAGCACCTTAAAATCAATTGTAAATGATACAGCAAGCCAGTGCAGAGTAGTTAAAACTGGACTAATGTGCTCTCTCCTTGTTTCCAGTTAATACCCAGGTCATATAAACAATATATACTTTCAGCTTCAGCCAGTGCTTCTCAGTAATTGAATGAATTGTCCCTTTTCTTAGGAGAACTAATCCACTTTAATAGAAATACATAAAGAACAAATCAAAAGCACCAAGGTAGGTGTAGGGAGATGCAGCTGCAAACAGTGTTGGTATGAAGTGAAAGTCAGAAGTGTCATATTAAAATGGCTGCACTGTACACTTGCATGAATATGGACTGGACTTTCCTAGCCCAGTGCTTAAGTGTGACTTCATTGCCTGAATGAACGCTACATACATAATTTAGGACATATTAAAATCCCACTTCTTTTTCTTCTGTGAAACATTGCTTCTATTGTAGATTGCTATCAATGCCAATTGTGTTTATGTGTCTGTCTCTTCACCTGTTTACCTGCTAGGTTCAGTGTTCGTGGGAACAACATGCAGTGAGCCCTGCAGTGATGCCTCTTTGTCAGATATAGTAAGTCTTATTCCCTTTCTTCCAGCTTGACATCATTTGTTGGATCAGATAACAGTTCTGCCTCACTTCCCCACATTCTGTTTGCTTAACAGTCTCTCAGAGTAGGAAACCTTGTTCCAAAGCAGCTGTCAGAAATTATGCCCGAATCCAGATGCAGACCAGGCGACAAAACAGCAGTTTTAACAGTATGACAAGGGCAGAGTGAATGAGCTAAGGCAGGGTGAGGATACAGGGGGTTTCCTTCCAAGCGGCAGGCGAGTGTGGGCTGGTGCTAGCTGGAGTATGGCAGGAAGGGTTGGATCTCCTAGTGGCTCTAGGGGTTTTGGACTGGGAGTCAGGCTGAGCATGTTGAACAGGCAATCTGGAGACAGGAAGACAATCAATCAATCAATCAACATTTATTTATATAGCACTTGACAGCAACCAACAGGTGTCCAAAGTGCTTTACATAAACCAACAGCACAGCATTCAATAAAAGACAAGAAAAAAACATGAAGCATAGAAAACAGTAAGCCTAAAGTTACCTAAAATCATCAGAAGAAGAGGGAAGTTGTTGCACCACTTTAAAAGCCATTCTAAATAAATAAGTTTTGATTTAAAATGTGCTTGTTCCAGAGTTTTGTTCCAAACAATAAAATCTTGAAATCGATTCTAAAACGCACAGGAAGCCAGTGTAGTGTAAATAGAGCGGGAGTGATGTGGGAGCATGAATAGCCTTTTCTAGATCGTGCCTGTTAAGAAAAAGCTTTACTTTAGCCAGGAGACGAAGTTGGAAGAAGCTCATTCTGACAACATTGCTAATCTGCTTGTCAAATTTCATGCTGCAATCGAATGTCACACCCAAATTTTTGCCAGTTTGCTTGGCGCATGAAGTCAAAGCTCCCAGACTTAAAGCTGGATTGTTTGACATGCATTTAGTAGTGAGGATAATACACTCAGTTTTATCTTCATTCAGATTAAGAAAGTTCCGAGAGGGCCACAACTTAATATCATTAATGCCATTAAGCAGGCAGTTTAGTGCAACACTGTCATTAGGTTTCATAGGCAGATAAATTTGCAGGTCATCTGCATAATAATGAAATGACAGGTTGTGCTTGTCTATTATAGCCCCTAACAGCAAAATATATAAAGAGAACAGAATGGGGCCAAGAGTTGAACCCTGGGGCACCCCGCAATAGAGAGGAGCAGATGATGAGGAGAAATCACCCAATGAAACTCCTATTTGTCAAATAGGAGCTAAACCATTTAAGTGCGGAGCCTTGAATGCCTACAAAATGCTCAAGGCGTGCGGGAAGGACTGCATGATCCATGGTATCAAAAGCTGCTGTCAGGTCCAAAAGCACTAATACAGTAGGATCCCCAGCATCTACAGACAAGGCAATATCATTGTGAATGCTTAGCAGTGCCGACTCAGTGCTATGACGCGATCTAAAACCAGATTGCAATTTTTCACAGAGTTCTGTTGTAGAAAGACTTGTAACTGTTTAAAAACAACTTTTTTCCAGCAACTCCTAAAGAAAGGCAGATGTGAGACTGGTCTAAAATTGGACAACACATTGGGGTCAAGATTAGGCTTTTTAAGTAGGAGCCTAACCACAGCATGTTTAAAAGCATCTGGGACATAGCCAGAACTGAGACAAAAGTTAAAAAAAAGTAAGTAGACTCGACCCAATGGTGCTAAAAACCTCCTTCACCATCCTGGCGGGAATAATGTCTAAAGCACAGTTGGTAGGTTTCATGTGGCGTACGACCTCAGTGAGCAACGACAGATAAGAGGGCTTAAATTCCTCAAACACAGCAGAATGCACAGGAGCAGCAGGTACAAACACACTGGCGTTTTGCCTGACTGATGCTACTTTATCAATAAAATAACAGAGAAACTTCTCATACATACTAGTTGAAACCTGTCAAAGCAGAGGTGCATGGATTCACGATAGAGTTTATAGTGTTGAATAACACCCTAGGTTCATGGCAGCTGTTAGCTATGACAGATGAGAGATAGTTCATCTTCACCACCTTTACAGCCTTCTGATACTCTACAAGACTATCCCTTAATAAAACCAGAGAAACTTGTAACTTGTCCTTCTTCCACCTACGTTTCAGCATGTCTGCAGCGTTGCCTTTAGGTTTAGGTTTAGGCTTTAGGTTTAATAGACTTAAACCGATGAGGGGCAATAGAGTCTAGGATTTCAGCACTTGTAGAATAGAATGCAGAGAGAATGTTATCTGGGGAAGATGGAGAAACCAGACCATTCTTGGCATAAAACTGAGAGCCCAAGAACATCGAAGCAAATTCTCCAGCTGAAGAGGGGGTGATACAGCGACACCTAGAGACTGAAGACACAGGAGGAACACTGATCTCAAATCTAATGGGGAAGTGATGTGAGATACCAGATTCTGATATTTTTGTGACTGAAACCGAAAGTCCAGAGAGATGATGAGATCCAAGGTGTGGCCAAGATTATGTGTTGGCCTATTCACACATTGATTAAGGCCAAAAGAGTTCAACAGAGACAGGTATTAATATAAGCAAACAGGTTGCTTGACAAAACAGGCGCAGAGCTAGACGTTGAGGCTTTACCTACGGCTCACAATTTAACAATCTGTCAGGGAATGGATGTCTGGCTTCTCCTAAAGTGGTAGGGATGGCTCATCAGGAACAGGTGTGTGATTGCCAGCAGGTGCAGTTTGCGCCAACCCAGACAAAAGGAGAGAAGAGACAAAGAGACCAAACAAAAACACATCAAGCATGCTTCACTCACCCAAAGGGAAAAAATAAATCGAACACATTCACTCAGTCTCAAGTCTCTTAGGTGCAGGAGTCATGACAGGACCCCCGCCCACCCCCGACGGGCCTATGAAAGTCTCTGATAAGGGAGGCATCCAGAATCTGCCGCAAGGGAACCCAGCTCCTTTCCTCAGGACCATAGCCTTCCTGTTCGACAAGATATTAGAACCATTGAATCTTATAAGTGCTGAGTTCATCAATCTTCCGCGGAGGAGGAGGGTGAGGAACCAACGGACTGGTGGAAACAGGCTTGAGGCATGAGACACAGAACGAAGGATGGACCCGGAGGGAGCGAGGCAGTTTGAGTGGGACCACCGTGGGGTTGATAACTCTAACCACTTCAAACGGATCAATGAATCTGGGTGACCGCTTCCTGGAGTCTGTTTTAAGGGGTAAGTCACTAGTGGAAAGCCAAACCCTATCTCCCACAACGTAGTTGGGTGCTGGGGTGCAGTGGTGGTTGGCGTAACATTGGTAATGTCCCGAGGCCTTGAGAAAAGCAGAAGGGGTCCGAAGCCAGATCAGGCAGCAACTGCGGATGTGGGCCTGGACTGAGGGCATAGGAATGTCCTTCTCCTGAGATGGAAAAGGGGGAGGGGGGGGCACCCTCTCACCATTTGAAGGGGGCAGTCCAGAAATGAAATCCAATGCCAGGTGTGACCAGGGGCACAAAGGAACAGGCAGGGGTCGTAGCAGGACGGAACTGGGTTGGCTTGATACCTTATTCTAGGCACATACAGAGCAGACAGAGACAAAAGATTTGATGTATGCCAACATTGACCAGATACACAAAATAACATTTCCCCAACATGTTTTTGAGAACATCATTGACTAAACACCTGCGATGAACTGACGACCTGTCCAGGGTGTACTCCACCTTTCGTCCGATGACAGCCAGGATTGGCTCCAGCCCCGTGCGACCCTTTACGCAGGATAAGCGTTTGACGATGGATGGATGGATGGATTGACTAAACACTTGAATACTGCGAAAGGGCATCACTAGGTACTCAAAATGTCCAGCAGGTAGTTAAAGGTAGTCTTCTATTCATCGCCCCCCCAATACGTACCAGATGATAGGCATTTGAGGTCCAACAGATTGGAAACAGATTGGGGCAAGGCAGACTTCAAACAGGCGAGGCAATTAGTACTCCAACTAGTGATATTAGCTGAGGTCCAGCCAATACTTATTTTTAACCAACCCCGCCCAGGGATGGCCCAAGATCACAGGAACAAAAGGTGAGTCAATAACCTTGGCTGGGGTTGGAGGCTGGAGGTCTGGCTGATCTGTCCCTCCCCGGAGAGCGGGTGGTATGGCTAATGAGATCAGATCATCCAGGTTCGGGGTACAAAATGAGTTTATCCTTAATAAATTCTGATAATCCCTGAGAGAAAGCTGCCTGCAGTGCTTCATTGTTCCAGTCACAATTAGCCACTAAGGTGCAAAACTCAATTGCATATTGTGCTACACTGTGTGCCGAAGAACCATGAGTCTCTTAGAAGCATCTTTACCTTGAATGGGATGATCAAAAATCTTATGCATCTCAGTAGTGAATGCGGCATCCAGATCAGTTGGAGTGATTTGATCAGGACTGGCTGTGTCAGATGTTGGTGGAGCGGCTGGGGCTGGGGCTGCTGAGGCGGGTTGCAGATCGGCTACACCCCTTGTTAAGTGCCGCGGTGCTCACCAAGCAGGCAAAGTTACTGCATGTTTTACGACATCCAAATCCACTGGGTTCATCCTGGCCGGAATCCTGGTCAGGAATTATGCCTTAACCCAGATGCAGACCAGGAGATAAATCAGTAGTTTATTGAGAATGGCAGAATGAGTGAGCAAAGGCAGCGTGAGGACATTAAGGGTTTCCTTCCAAGCGGCAGGCGAGTGTGGGCTGGGACTGGCGTGGCTGGCTGGAGAGTGGCAGGAAAGGTTGGATCATTGGTTGGATGGAACAGATGCAGAGCTAGACGTTAAAGCTTAACCTACAGCTCACGACTTAACAATCAGACAGGGAATGGATGTCTGGCTTTTTCTTAAGAAGTGGTAGGGATGGCTGATCAGGAACAGGCATGTGATACCAGCAGGTGCAGCTTGCCCCAACCCAGAAAGCCAACACCCAGGACTCCATAAGTTGAGGGAAGGGAAGAGAGAAGAGACAAACAGACCTAATAAAAACACACAGAGCATGCTTCATTCACCCAAAGGGAAAAAATAAAT